GCGTAGTGTGCGCACTCCCATACATGCCCGTACTGATCAACTGCCCGACTAAACTATCGACCGACGAAAAATCAACGGTGTGCGCCTACTTTTAAACGTCGAGCCCTAAAGCTTAAACATCGATGTCGATAGTAACAGCGGTGCAGCGCGACGCAAGCCCGCCGCAGCAGACGGGGTGGTGAGACCTTGGCAGTGAAATGTCAAACCGGCCGCACTTGCACGCCTAGTGAGGGGACGTGCATCGAAAGTTTTATTTGTAACCTCTTTACCGGGATATCAGTAACAATGCCGTAAAATGCATTTATGTCGTACAGGCGTTTGACTTATGCCCGTTTTCACCATCAATCCCATATTTTTAAATGACCCCTATAGTAATTCACAACAGGATTTTTTTTTAATAGGGGTCACTTAAAAATTAAGTATTGATGGTGAACATAGGCATCAGAAATTTACTAGAATTTCAGTATAGGACTACCTAACGTTTCTGAATTGAGATTTTTTGCTTGATTGTGCTCATTTGCTTCTTAACTATGAACTTTTCATATTAAGTTTGTGCTTATAGATAGAGGATGAGCACGCTTAAGTTAAAAATTTCCATTCAGAAACTGGGGGTGTGACTCATACGAAATTACTTTGTGGCAAAGATAAAACATTCCTCTAACTCTCGTTTTCTCGTATACAAGTTTTATTTGTAACCTCTTTACCGGGATATCAGTAACAATGCCGTAAAATGAATTTATGTCGTACAAGCGTTTGACTTATGCCCGTTTTCACCATCAATCCCTTATTTTTAAGTGACCCCTATAGTAATTCACAACAGGATTTTTTTTTAATAGGGGTCACTTAAAAATTAAGTATTGATGGGGAACATGGGCATCAGAAATTTACTAGAATTTCAGTATAGGACTACGTAACGTTTCTGAATTGAGATTTTTTGATTTTCTCGTAATAGTTTATATTAATAATAATTTGATTTAATAAAGAACCTTAAGTAGGACTAATTTTTACAAAGTATTATTTAAATTACAAAATATTCGCTCGAACATGCGTTACTTATTAAATACTCTCCACTCTCCAGTTGGTGATTAATTATAACTTTAATGAAGCTCAAACAGTTGACTCGGCTAGTTTCGATTTAGACGCCTAATTATCTGACTCGGGTGAACGATCTGTTTAATTAGTCTTTAAATATTTAAAACGAATCTAAAAATATCTGAAGACCACCGCACTCTTAATAAAGAACCTTTAAACGCAATTACTTGAGATAAATTCAATTAGGGTTATCCGAACCGGTTGTAATAATTCGATATCGATATCCGAAACAGCTGACGCGCGGCGCGCCACTATCTCACAAAAACCTGTCTGCTGGGCGCGGTGCACGGTTCGATAGTTCGGCCTATAACCCCGTAACCCGTGCGCCGGCGCAGCCCCCAAGCTTTTTGTTCGTCTGCGCGTAATTGACGTTTATAAATTGGCGAAATGTTACTATAGTGAGGGCAGTGGGATTGCGAACGTTTTACCGATTGTTTCTTGTATTGGAATCGTTTAGGAATTGATTTATAGGTATCGATAGTTTGTCTTTGTCTCTATTCGCGTTTATTTTAGTGACTGACATGAAATATTGCTTTATTCATCATTTCAGCCATAGAACGTCCACTGCTGAAAATAGGCCTCCCCCAATGCTTTCCATGTTGATCGATTGGTAGCGGCCTGCGTCCAGCGCTTCCCTGCTACCTTTATGTGCTTTATTAAGCAGTTTCAACTCTTTATGATTTAGCTCCTACCCCAATTGCATATTCCTATGCAGTATGCACAGCGCATGTCTGAAATGTGTCGCTACATACCAAATAAACTGTAGGTATTTGCTGAGTAAACGAAACATGTATCATCTTGGTTATCGTCACTTATAATCAGGTAAATGCCAAGTAAAACTAAAGACAAAAAACGGAAACTAATAATAATGGTATCATAAATGGTGGTCTGTGTACCCCTTGCCATATTTCATGACCAGTCACGATTATAAATAATATTAATAGATAAATTTCCATCGTAAATTATGCATAAAATATGACTTGACGTGCCCCATAACTGTAAAAAGCATGAGAATGATGGTAAGGTTGGATGCATAAATTTTCCGCGCTTCGCTGAGCCCCGCCATGTCCCATAGTAACACATTCATAGTTCTTGTCAACCAATCGCCAATCGAATGAATACCATAAAAAATTGGTTATTCAATATCATAGGTATTTTATTCGACTTTTCGGAACATAGAAATGTTTTCGTGTAAAAATAAATAAATAAAGTCTTCAGAATATAACATTCTTCATTGATATATCTACTGAGCTTTGTTTTACCAGTGGAGAAGTTGCCACTCATCCCTGGTCTCTACCAGCACCTTTAACTCTGCTATTTTGATATTTACGATTTCTTTCAATTGCTGTACTTAAACTCTACGTTCTACTTTGCCTTCCAGATTTGCTAAACGGTCATGACAGATTATAATCTGTGTCAGTAGACGGTAAAAATACTGTATTTCATGCAATCATGCAGTGTTACACAACACTGATATAATTTTCATGACACTACAAATTTTAGCCTAGGCGCAGACCTTCGATTTTTAGTCGGCCGATAGTTGGGCCCGATTCTAATTACATAGTATGAAAAATCTTTCTTAAATGTATGAAAAGTTAATGTCTCTAACTTGCCCCCCGCGGGAATCGAAGCCGCAACACCGATCGCTATCTAGTACGCGAATCACCAAGTCAGAACGTCAAATATTACATTTAATCATTAATATAAAATTAATAAAGTATATTATTACTTTAGCATAGCAACTGATTCAGTTAGCAGCCATGCTGATAGGTACGCGTATCGGATAGAATGCATCTCGCTGCAAATTGAAGTGCAACTCAGCAAGCTAGTCTGGCAGTTGTTACTTGTTACTAGCTCATACAATCAGTTATGTACTCAAATGAATTTAGGTATTTGACTCTATTATGTGTTATTATTACCGTATGTAGAGTAGGTATAATAAGAAGCATGCGCTGCTTAGTTATGCAGTAGGTATGGTCCCTGTAACTCAATGTAAAATTACTGTGTGGCAATTTAAATACCTAAACTGATTTTATTTCCAACTTCATAACTAAAATTAAAACATTGAAAATAGTTCCTAGAAGTATATTAGTTGAAACTTATAACTTATCTATTATATAAACTTTTCGTGTCACTGTATTCGTAACAAAACTCTCCCGAAACGGCTTGACCGATTCTTATGAAATCAAGCAACGTTTGCTAGGTCAGCTAGTAAAATTATTAGATACTTCAATACTGGTAATTTTGACTGATATTATAGACTTGATAGAATATTAAATATCATAAGTTATTAAAAAAATTCTGGCGTTACGAGTCGCCTCTTGAACATTTCGACGAGTTCATCCAGTGTCTAAGTAGCTCAGATGAAAGAGCAGTCGCCCGGCAAGCGGAAGGTCGTGGGTTTGATTCCCACCTTAGGCAGTTCGATTTTTTCAAGTTATTTTAATAATATAAAAATTAAATATCATTTCTTGTGATAATATAATGGACATTGGTCACACAATGGCCACGTGTGGGTGTAAGAGTGAGTAGTAAGATGTTAAGCCATGTTAAACAGTTCCTTAGGACATGAGTCGTGATTTCTCGATTGATCTACAGTTTGATGAACTCCAGACATGTTTGTATTGTCATTTGAGTCACATTTAACATGATCCCGCTTTACGTTGGAGGTTGTCGAACTTTTCTTTACATCGATCAGTTTTAAAAACTTTTGTGGGGCGTGAAATTCATTCATTTAAACAAAAAATTAAATGATGAAAAAATCGTCAAAATTTTCACGTGTATTATTATTTTTTAAATATACGAGCTTACAATAGGCGTAGAGCACACTGATCTCTTCTATTCTTCTCAAAAATGCTTTAAAGCAAATATAATGCATCTCAAAAAGTAAAAGTAAAGGCTCCTTCACACTACAGCGACTCTAGAATTGAATAAAAAATCACGAAATCAGTAGCAGAACGTACTCGGATAGGTATTAATTAGAATTCGTCGGGCAAGTCTCGACGAGAACGATGCTATTCCCGTGAAAGCACCGCGTCCGACCGAGAGTATTGACCTGCGCCTGCGCCGATACGCCACTCTATGTTGGCCTAGGTTACGTTTTGGTGACGTGGCCTAGCATCTTGTAGCACATGGCCGGCTATGTACGAGAATGGTGTGGAATTTGAAAATTTTAGAGGAGGCTGCCAAATAATGGTTTGATGGTTTTATAATGTTGCACGTTAGAGAAAATATTATGTATTAGAATGACAATTTCAAAATCAAATAACTTTACCTATGACGTCTGAAAATCCGAATTTTGTACTGAACATACAGGAATATTTGAAAATGTTATATTAAAACAAAAAATAAAACACATTTATGAAATAGCAAATAAAAAAGGTGTCTAATAAGTATACAATTGGATAAATGTAGAGCCTGTTGATGCACCGCGTGGATACTGTGATGTTTCATTAAAAAAAATTTTTTTTGAATGAAAATGTGATTCAAAATATGTAAAATTAATGTAGCTAGGTTAGAAAAGTGAATGCCGGCGTTGTCGCCGACGTCTATGTTGGCGTAGGTCTAGCTGCAGTGACGTGGAACGCGGCGAATACCGTTTCAGACGCACAGAAAAGTGAGAAAAACTTTTTATTTAACGATACCATGAAAAGAAAGAGTAAAGAAATATTATGCGATGTGTCTAACAATTTCAAAATGACCCGTTCTAAAATAACTTAATACAGGAATACTTAACAGCAGTTTTTCGATCAAAAAGAAAGTAACAGTCGATTTTTTGACTGAAAAAAGACATTAACATGTAATCTTCCCACAAAAAAGGGACAAAGAAAAAAAGACATCGACAGCATCAAAACGCCCCTATTCGCAACTTATTAGACACCAAAAAAAAAAAGGTTGTAAAAACTTACGAAATCCGGCCGCGTGACGTGTGTTCTTCGTATGTTATCACTGGTTTTCTGAAAAGGTGGGTTGAGAGGTTTAATATGAGGGTTGTTGTGGGGGTGAGACACGGGCGCGGCGTGCGGGGCGCGCGAGGCCTGGCCCGTCACTGCGCTAGCGCAGCGCGTCCTTTGAGAAATTACGTCAGCTCGGGCCGCGCACCCCTTTCTTTTTTTCCGTAATTAATTTCTTGTAAGATTTTGGCGGAGGCGAATTTTTTTCGTAATTGCCGCGCCCGCTGATTGTGGTCAAATCGACATGCGGTATTAATAATAACGTTTGGTTCTTTAAACGCTTCTCATTGCTGTTTTATGCAATGGAAAAATTTCAATTACTCTACAAACTTTTTGGACATTAAGGTAAGTGCCCCCTACTTCGGTATATTAAGGCTCTTACGACTTTAACATTTTATTTAAAAATAACCAAGCATGATATCAGTATGAAAGCTTTTGTATGCTAAACTTTGTTCTTTGGACAGTAAGTTAATACATAATTTATAGTTATATAGTTTGAACTTTTTTTATATTAATTCTTCTGCGGACCTCTTGTTTGGATCCTGTTTCGTGACAAAATTTTGCTCTGTTTCTAAGTTCGTGAACTCATGTCCCCTATTTCGGGATAAGGTTTTATGCATCCAGTTAGGATATTTTAATAATGATTAAGGTTTAATAAATTTAGAAACGATAATATAAATTTAGAATAAAATAATTATGTGAAATTGACGAATATTACTTTCCTGAAATATTCATAAGAAATAATTTGTGTCTAGCTAGGTACGTACCTACGTATAATATTTTTATTTGTTAATTCTAACAATACGTGAAAATATTTATATAACCATTAGAAATGTGGGGGGAGGGGGGGGGGGAACTTAACCCCCCTATAAATTCTAGTGAACGAAACATATACCGAATTTAGGTCATGAGAAACTTAAATAAATGCATTATTTGTTTCATAACTTACATTTAAATTATCATAAATAATTATTTAAAAACCAAGCATCAAAATGTTATCCATAATATCCTTGAATCGGTAGCGTCACGAAATAGGGGACACCCGAAAAATAATATGTACGCTATTTCGTGAGTCAATTAATCGCAATTTTAAAGGAATTCTACGTTTTCATATAACTTTTTTCTAAGCCAAATCAATTGTCAAGGAACACATGAAACCACTATTACAAGTTTTATTTAAATGGACGTTCCTTCGCCTTTTTATAAGCTTAAGAAGTTGGAGCGCTAACCTTACGGTGAGAGCAACCTTTGCAAGCCGCTCGGCTGTTTTTGGCTCTCTGAGAGTTTGAAGCTTCGTATTGCTCTCATTTTTGGCGCCACAATGTTGGTACTTGGTTTTTTAGATAGCTTAAATAATAGAGTTTTTGTAGTAATGAAGAATTTTTATAAATAATATTCCATTTGCTTATTATTTGAGCTAGAAAAAAAACTTACGAACTTACGTACTATCACGAACTAGTAGCCGTTTACCTTACTTCAAACATATTTTATTTATTCTCCCTAAAATTTTTACTAGTAAACCAAACTATTTTAAGTCTAAAAGATCTGACAAGGTTCCAGTAAGAATCTAAGAGCAAAATTCTAATACGTTAGCCTTGCCGCGGCCGCCTCCCAGACGATCCCGGTTACCTGCGCGCGCGCACACTTGCACACGGCGGGCTCACACACACAAACGCAGACACAGACGCGGCTCTAATGCCCGTGGAGTTCCAGGGATGAAGACGAAAGTGGGATTCGGAATGGCTTTTGACTTTTTAAGACAGAAATTTCATTAGTTAGAACTCAAAATATAAGATAAAAATTGAAATTAATATTATCCCTCATCATCTTTCTCTTCTCTACCATGAAGGATTTAAGAAGCAATTCTGTTTAGATATATCTTTTCTTTCTAAAATAAAACCCGATAGAGTCTTATGATTCCGTACTATAAAATGTTATTATTTAAGTTTGACCAAATAACTCAATTTCATTTCTTCTTCAAGCCAATGTCCTGTCCCGTTCAGCTTCTGTCCACATCAACCTATTCCATGTCAATCTGGTGGCTTTAGCTAGCAGTTATAACTTATAACTATCTTAATACTCGTAATACAGACCGTTAAAAGTGTATATAAGTACAGAGACCGGTACATCACACAAGAAACTCACTGTTGATATTAAAATAAAATTAAACAAAAAAATACAAACCTAATTCTGTTGTAACATGTGCTATTTTGCATCACAAATATAAAGTCTGATATGCTGTCGATTGTACATTATTTATTTATCGAATAATTCATTAAACTTAACAAGCTTTTTGATCTCTACCTATCCAGTTCCAACTAAACAAGTTCTTATGAGAATACAATCGGATTACAATAAGATTCTAACATCGGAACTCAGTTACCGCCTTATCCACGTATCCCCTAACCTAAGAAAGTATAAATAAAACATAACTATCTGTACGCACCGCCGGCTAGGGACGTTGCCCGCTGCAGCGAGGTGTGCGTGCGCCTTATTATGTACGCTCACGTAACCGCGCGCCAGTGTGCGTGCGGCCTAAGTACACAGCGCACACCGTCAATGAAGGAGGCAGTTACACCGAAGTCTTAAAATAATTAAAATAATCGTTAAACTAATTTATTCTCTGTAAGTTGACATTTAGAGGCCACTTTTACACGTCCCAACATTTTTAAACATTAACTCTACTACTGCTTCGGGACAATGCAGCAGCGCAAGAATCTCGGTCATTATTGTCAGCCTCTTTTTCAATAATTTTACAAGATTATTTGTGCTGGTGTGAGCTAGACTGTGACTTTTAAAGATGTTTTGCGTTAATTTACATGGAAAATAAGGAGAAAATGTGTATTACGAAAAAAAAAAAACCTTTTCAAGTCTAAACCAATAGTGATGCATTTCATAAGGAGAAGGACATGAAGTCGGATAAACTAACATGTAGAGCTGATAACGTTGAATTTAATTCCACACTAAAATGTGTTGATTGCGTAAAAATGACTTACTTGACTTAAGGTCCTATGTCCCCTAGATGGGGCAGAGGGCGTCCACAACAGTCCTGCATCTCGTTCGGTCTTGAGCTTCGCGCTTGATCTCGCTCCAGGTTTTGCCGATTTTCTTCGCCTCGTCTGCTACAGTGCGCCGTCAAGTCTGCCTGGGGCGACCACGTTTGCGTTTTCCTTGGGGGTTCCAATCCAGAGCCCGCTTAGGGATGTGATTGGGGTCCCTTCGGAGAGTGTGGCCAATCCAGTTCCACTTGCGGCGCTTGATCTGCTGGTCGATCGGAATTTCGTGGCAGCGTTCCCATAGCTCGACGTTGGAGATTTTCTCGGGCCAGTATATGCCGAGAATTCGGCGAAGGCAGCGTTGCGAAAATATAATACTTGTAAAAAGGACATCAATGTGGCCTTTCACAAACTTTCGCGTTTCACATTGTGTCTTTAAGTAACGAGAATTATCTGTTTATTAAGTTAAAGTATAAATTCTGAACAATGAGAATTTATATTATGTATAAAATCTTCTTTTACATAATGAAAAATCAGTTTTTTCGTACATATGAAAAAACAGCTTAGAAAAAGACATCAACGTCATCATTATTACAAAAATATCTTGATTATTGTTTTTAATCGAGATAATAATAACATAGTATCTATAGTAATTTGTAGATTGCTTGCCAATTCATATAATTAGATTGCTCGTTAAGTTTTTAGACTCTAGTAAAGAGATTCAATTTTACTTTCATATATGTATACAAAATTATAAAATGAGTTTTTAAAATTTCATTAAATTTTTCTATAACCGAACATTCGCCTAAGTGCATTCATTACGCTTCGGTGTGACAGGCGGCCGCGATAGAGCTGCCTCTAGTTCAAGTCCAAGGTGGCGGCCAACAGCGGAACCCACCTCGGCGGTTTACTATTTATTTCATTTGCTACAAAGTACGGCTGACTTAAAGCCGGACAATTTATGCCAGTCAACTTCGGGGGAACAAAAATAGCGTGCTTTTATTATAAATGTCTGGGTGGCTTTATTTATGTATCTAATATCGATTTGTAAGATATTTAGTGTTTATAGTTGACTAACTTCTGCCCACGACTTCGTCCGCGTGGAATAGTTAATTGTCTTAATTGATAGCCTATAGCCTTCTTCCATAAATGGGCTATCTAACACTGAAATGATTTTTCAAATCGGACCAGTAGTTCCTGAGATTAGCGCGTTCAAACAAACATACAAACTTTATTTATTAATATAGTTTATAGCTTTATAATATTAGTATAGTTTTAAAAAGTCTGGCAATACGTATAGCATCAAATAAAATACTTGCTGGGAGACGCCTCCAGCAAGGATCCATTGTCTCACTTCGTGCGGGAGACGGTTCTCCAGTTCGTGACCAAGGCGATTGGTGTCGTCAGGAGTATTAAAAAGTATTGTTGAACCGATTACACCCCACAGCTGGACATAGACCACCCAGAAAGAGCATACTCGTAGTAATAGGAATAAAATAAGTCTGTTTAACGGTAATAGCTTATGTTTTTTAACCGACTTCAACATAAGGAGGTTCTCATTCTTTTCAAATATGTTCCTACTTAAATTTTATTTGCTATTTTATTTATTTATTCCTATGTAGTATTAAATTGTTGAAATAATACTTCTCTGTACCAATATTTATCTTACGTATAAATTCTGAATAGCTACCACATCTACCTTTCAGGCAACTCATAAAAAAATACAAATTCTTATAGTTGTTAACAAATTTATTGTGTGTTCAGCTCACTATAATTAAAACTAAACCAAACTATCATACACAATTTCATCATACCATAGTAGGTAATTCTCTTTTACCTTATTTCCCTCTTAAATCTTTGGAAACTTTCCGCCATTCCTTCATACATTAACTGAACTATGGTATACTTAGTGGTTGCTCTAAACTCGCGTGTTTACGGGCTGTGGGTTCAAAACTAAATGTTCTTTTGTGATGTGTAACAAAGAGAAAATGCCTGGGATTCCAGGCAGCCATGCAGGCATCTCAACACTAGCTAGGTGTGAGTACTTATCTTAGATATTTTTAGCATTATAGTTTTGCT